ATTTGTGTCTGCGAGCGATGTTTATTTCCTGCCCTAGATGAACTTCCATGAACTTTCAACTACTCTAGTTTAATTTGCATACAACACCTTCTATCTCACTTCTAAAGAGTGCTACGAACAAAACAATTGCTATATCTTTTCATGAGGCTTTTTTTAAAAGATAAAATTAAATATATTTTATCCTTCTTTTAGAAAATTTACCCGTATTCACCAAATTTAACAGACCACACCGATACACTTGGTATGAATAAGGAATAGTCACAGAAAATTCTTTTTTAGGCATATTTTAAAGAATGCTTTATAGGGTAATACGTTTTTACACTCGCGTTAATATAAAACTGCTATTCATTCTATTTCATTTTCAAAATCTCATTCTTGTTTTAACAAAAGGCTGTTCTCGTTGCTCGGAGCATTACTTACATTCGAAGTAACAAAAAGTCTATGTAGGACATCATATAAGTGCCAGTGAATAACCTGTATTTTTCAGTTGAAAGTGTTTAACTATTGCAGTGAATTCGTTCAGATTCTGTTGTGTGTTAAAAGCTTAACGTGGCAAAGCGCTATAAAAAGTCGTGTACCGCATATTTTTTCGTGGCGAAGCGTATTGCATAGTGGTGTAGCGCATTGTATTGTGGTTGGTATACCAAGTTGTATTGTGGTGATATTGCATTGTAAAGTGGTGTATCGCGGTATATTGGTGTGTAGCGCAGAATATTGTGGTGTAGCGTGGTATACCGTGGCGTAGCGCTAGCTCGCTGATAGTCGTAGAGCGCGGCGGTGGGCGCATGCAGGGGCGCGCGGGAGCGGGCGCGGGCGGGCTCCGCTCTCAGCCGCGCGCCCTGCCGCCACCGGTGCTGCCGCCGCCGCCGCAGTTCGCCACAGACAACGAAGACATGCCGGCCAATCAGATAGCACAGGTTACTACTGAAGTTATTGTTATAAATAAAGGTTGGGTTAAGTTAAGTTTGATGGCAGATCGTGAATGGTAATGTTCTTTCATCTACAATTTATCTGAAATGCAAACTTAATAAAGGAATACTTCTTCTTAAGTTAAAGCGAAAAAATATTCCAAGATTTAAATTCAATAGTCCACAGAGATTGTAAGATCGTTAACTTGTGAGCTCTAAAGTTTCTTTGGCTGGGGACCTTGGATCGATGCGTCTGTCGCGTATTTTATTATTAGTCTGTCTCCGCACTATCGCCCCTTCGCCTCGCAGACGGTGTTTTCTCATACGGTTTAAAATGATCAATTCGCCTTTGTATAAATTTATATTAACCGATGAAGTTCACTTCAGTTGGATTAATAAAATTGACTAGAAAATAAGTTCATAAGATATATAAAACTACTTTAGAGGAGAAGATGGTTGCAACTGCTCGAAATAAATACCTAAAGGCAAAAAGTATACGCGTAACATAATAAAAAAGTAGCTAATCTGAACGTCAATACGAACAAAAATTCGAGCAACAAAATATATTCAGTGTAGGGACCCTTCAAACGTCGATATAGTTGGCCGTGACTTCCCACGTGAATCAAGTTTTATGATTTGATGAATGAAATCCCTCTTTAATGCTCTCCAACTTCCGCTGTTAACAGAACGCACGGAAACGTGGCCAATCTTGATCCGAACAAAGTTAATTCGACTTATGACATTTTAACGTCATGGTTTTATCTTACAAAGAATCGGACGAATGCTTACAATTTTATAAATGAAAGTTGTAAACGTACATAATATTATAAAATATTATTCGAATTTAGGCAGAGCGCACACTATATAAAGAACAAGGTGTAGGTATACTTTCATTTGGACGGGTCATAAACAGTATTGTTCAACAGATGAAAATTCAGACGAGTTGGTGATCAGATTCTTAACAGCTGACGGCGGGCAGGCGATCGATGTAGACGACACGCGCCGACACCCTCCAAGCCCCCGCGACACCACCCGAGACGCTCGCCTCACTTTCACGTCTGCACCCCCGACACTTCGGCCCCCAACACTTACACTTACCTATGATTGTTACTCAAGTTGTAGGGTGCCTTACAATAGTGTACATCATTGTAAGGCTTACACTGGCGAGGCTATTGTTCAAGACTTGTTTTACAAGACAAAGTAATAAAATATGTAAGTCCATGTATGTTATGCTAATGTTTTAACCTTATCTTTAAGTAAAATTAAAGTACATGAATAGATTTAACTGCCAAGCCTCATCCACCTATATATGTAATATAAGTTAAAGCTAAAAGATTTCAGAAATATCAAGTTCGAATAACAAAACTGTGGGCATGCCCATGACCCAGATGTTTTTCACGGTTAGCACTTAAACCGCATTGAGTCACGCCTTGAGTCTTACACATGTACATGGGTCATGGAATAGCGCCTTAAGGAAAGATCTTGCCTTTTATGTAATACTAGACATATAGATAAGGTAAAGAATACACGATATTAAGGTGTAATATCCACATTCAATTGAGTTCTAAGTTAAAACAAGAGTTGCAGCTCGTGTAGTTAGCCAATTCCTAGCCCTAAGCCATTGCTTTATCATTATAAAAGTAGGCCGATATGAGAAATTTACGAATTTTAAGTCGTACATTTAAGTTTCAATTTTATACTAGCCGTTTCTCGCGACTTTGTCAGAGTAAAATTGATAAAAGTAAGCCTAAGTTTCAATAAGTAAAAGTTAAATATTATTTTTATGTTACACACAGACACTCCGGTTTTTGGAGCTGTATTTAATATAGTGACTGGCATAACACAAGTTTGCGAGTGAAACTGTGGTTTAATAAAGTCTGGCAAGTACATGTTCTACGGACATCGTGTCGCGATGCCTAGTTTTACTCCAGCGAGTCATAATACGCGAGTACCGAGCCTCAGGCTGACGGAGCGACGTGGGAACATTTTTCTCCTTTGTCTTGTGACGTTCTTTGTCAACTACGCGAACTAACTTTTTACTCCCAGTTATAATGGAAAAGTCGCGCTGGAAATAGATTTACAGAACAGCGCGCTACGACAAATGTGATTTTAAATTTTAAAATACTTTTACCATTTTTATTATTTGTTGACAAACGAAATTAGTTGTAATTGTTTGACGACTTGTAATTATCGCATAAAAGCAACAGTATAAAGTTGAAAAGTGTATGAAATTATTTCTCAAGATGAATATAAAAGTACTTATAAGTAACGCAACGTTACCTGAACACTTTTTTATCATTATGTCTGACTATCGTTATCAATGTCCCCTGAGATTAAATGCAATCGCAATGCAAACGTTCTGTACGTGAGGGCACTGTATTTAATAGAGGATAGCGCCGGTCATATTCACTGCATGAATACTTTTGTATTGTTATTATCAGTTTGGGTACAGACCGCCTTGAGCAATTTATTACGTGACTGATAAAATGGATTACTATTTATAGAACATTTTATCATACAGGACTCAATTTTATATATTTTCTTTTAGTATTGTAATCCAACTTAATACAGTAATGTATTTCTGCATTCTATTGATGAAAATACGCTATAAAATAGACAAAGAAAATGTCCAAAGTTTAGTCGACCTACTATTCTGTGAAATCTAAAATAGTATCAATTAAAACACTATATCAATGTTACTTAACGCTAAGATCAAATTAATCGAAAGGTAATTAATACGTACTGCATCGCTTAACTACGCCACGGTCTCGTAACCTGACCGAGATTATACGCTTACAATATCGATTTTAATTCCAATCAACTCTGTATGCGTGAAAAAACATAGGTTATATTGCTGCATGTTGTTGAATGCATAGATGCATCGAAATGGAAGTGGTAAGAAAGGTGTATGGAGACCTTGATAAATAAAAGTTCATTATCTCTGCCTATCTCTTTTAGATATGGGCGTGAGTTCTGTTGTTTTCGTTGTGATAAGACTCCTGAATTGGTATTCATGTGGGTTTGACTGATAAAACAGGTGTTAAATTCTATAATTTGTTCAAATTAGCCTCGATAATATCATGATTGTTAAGTGATCTGTGTTATATTCATACTTTTATTTTAGATAAATAGGTTAAGGTTTATTTTACAAAATATCAACGTTGGTATGATAATTTAAAAAAAATTCTTTAACCCAATTTTTCTCCGTTGCGTAGTAATTTTGTACGGTTTTATTAAAGTGAGGGAGCTACAACGTAGATTGTTGAAAGTAATGTCGGATGTTGAAATTAGAAGTTTGGATAAGCTCTCTTTGCAATCGTTTAAGTGTAATGGGGTAAAAGTTTTACCCCAAATTAATTGAAAAATTTCATACATTTAACAAAAACAAAGACATTCTTTACTTGCAGCTAAAAATTTTATGTAGGTTTTACAGTTTGGAGTGTCAATAGAAACTGCAAACTGTCTATGTCGTTTTGTAGACTTCCAAGAAACTTCTCTCAAATGTCATAATCAAAGAACACCGACTCCGGGAAGTCGACCCAACTCTTAGTTGTTTGGAAACTTTTGTGTAGCTAAAAACCTGATTTATGTATTTTCATTGATGATATTATATGTACTATTTTTTTTTTGTTTCTCCAGTAATCAATTGTTTTGTCCTACTTCGCTAGAAGGCACGGCTCGGATTTAACCGGGTCAACCATTACTACGTTCCTACAGCTTAAGGCTTTGAATTTTTAATGATCCCGTTTATTTAGAATACGGCCAGTAAATTTATTCTTCTATTTTAAGATATAATTAGGAGTAGGATTTTGAGAAGAGTCTAATTTTAAATGTATGTGACCTTCCGTAGGTGGAACATAATAGTAAATGATTTTTAGCGTTTGCGATTTTTATTATAAAATATGATTATGCGTTACGATCTTTAATAAATTAAAGCAATGAAAAAAGGCTAATTACAGAATACCGCATTGCGATTATCCGCTAAAGGCCATATTTTGCAACAATTAAGAAAAATCTATGGATTGTCGAACTGTCGACTATCGTAGTCTAATAAATTTGTTTAACTCTTAACTTATGCCAATATGTTTGCAGGTGATCGCACTGATCTGCGGGCTGCTGGTTGTCGTACTGATGGTGCTGGGGTTGGCTTCCGCGGACTGGCTGATGGCGGCGGGCTGGCGGCAAGGTCTCTTCATGCACTGCATCGATCCGGATGCGCCCACTCCGCTGCCCTTCGATATAGTCGCCCAGCCAGGATGTTATGCTGCGAGACCCGCATCGTACATTAAGTAAGAACCCTCATTAGTAATAGCTTCGCCCAAGTTTTGAGCGGAAAAACGTCGAACTCCATACATAGCGGACGTTACGGTATTTTGTAATTTTAAGTGAAGTTTTGTTTATATTATGCTGGTAATCTTATTTAGGTACTCGGAGGAAAACGTGTTACGGGATAACTATATGGAATTTGTGTTAGTCCATTGTGTATAAATTCGAAGTAAGGGATTGTACATTTTCACTCGTTTTACTTCCATGAAAATTTAAACATGAATCGTTAAATACATTAACATTTTAATATATTGATAACCCTATTATTAATAACGCAATTTATCGTTATTACATTATTGATTTATTAATAATCAGGTTATCAATATCCGAGTTTCAATTAATTTTAAACTCTCATTTTATCGAATAAATTTATCAAGTTAGCATATTTTCAACGATTATAGCTAACATTTAGTTTAAATTTTTCAAGTTGTTGCGGATAGCCTGAAATTCAGTAGCAACGGAATTAAATGGAAATTCTCGAAGGAGCCTCGACCTAGATTTTAATGGAAACTAAAAATGTATTTAACTTTTTAAAAATAATTTCTTTTGGCATAATTAGATATTTACGCTGTTTTATTAGATCTGTATCTTTTAATAGAATAAGTTTTATCAAGTACTAGCTGTCGCCCGCGACTACGTCCGCGTGTATATATAAAAAAACTTAATAAGTGTAGCCCACCCACCCATCCATCCACATCACATCCATCTAAACATTTGCATTTATAATATTAGTAAGTTAAATAAAAAGCAGCTCTTCAAGGCATAAATTCGAAAAAAAAATGAATAAATAGTATCCTATGTCAGTTTCCTGGCTCTAAGCTACCTCATCTTCAATCTTCAGCCATATCGGTGAAGCCTTTCTTGAGTTATAAATAGTGAAACTAACACGACTTTCTTTTTTATATATATATAAGGTTAATGCTATTTTAATACGAAATTTGCTTAAATTCACAGTATTTCTTAAATTTTTAGTCAATTTATTGTTTGTGACATTGATGTTGTGTGTATTTAGGGCGGCGGCGGGGTTGTGTGTGGCGACACTGGCGGCGGACGTGTGCGGTGCGCTGCTCACCGGGCTCGGCCTGCGCTCAGCTGACCACCGCACCAAGTTCCGATACTATCGCTTCGCTGTACTCGCTATGGCTCTCGCATGTATGTTATATGAATTTAAATATAGTAATAAAAATAGTCTATGTTACTCAGTGATAATGTGGCTTTCTAATAGTAAAAGAATTTTTAAAATCGATCCAGTAGTTTTTGAGTTTATTCGTCACATATAAAAAAATCTCTATCTCTCTTTCTCAAGTCTCTTTATTATAGTGGTATAGATATATGTTTAAATATTTTAATGGTCACCTCTAAATTTGGTAGGCTCCGAGGTTCCGGTGACCAGATGATGATATTTTGATGATCACATTTGATTTTATGATCCTGCCTAAAGACATCTACAATATATTTTTAACTGAATTTTTCGAATGAGAATAAGCGGGTTCTTGTGTTATGGTGTTTTAGGAATCGAACCCACAGTAAGAAAATTAATACGTTCTATTTACGGCACACCATGTATATACTATTTTTGAATGTTTCCAGTGATGTGCATCTTGATTGCGTTGGTGATTTACCCTGTATGCTTTGCTGCGGAATTGAATCTGGGTATGATATAAATGTTCTTGAATAAAAAAAAAAGTATAACCAGATATATCGTTTTGGATTGTAACGTAGTACATTAATCTATAGCTATCGCTCCTGACTCCGTTCGCAATATAAAAAAACTTAGTACTGCTTGTGCTCTTTCAGACTATGTTCTATATCTATGCCTAATTTCAGCGAGATCTATGTAGACGTTCTGGAGATACCTACTAACAAACATTCATTCATCTATTCATATATTAATAAATTCCAGCTTGATACCTTCACGCGTTGTTGTGAAAAAGGGTCTTGACAGACAGACGGACAACAAAGTGATCCTATAAGGGTTCCGTTTCCTTTCGAGGTACGGAACCATAAAAATTTTGCATTTATAATATGAGTAAGATGTTTAGTTTTAATTGGGTTATTGGTACAGGTAATAGATCGGTGTGGGAGTTCGGTTGGGCGTACGGTGTTGGTTGGGGCGCGGCCATCTTTCTTTTCGGAGCTGTCGTCCTGTTGTTGTGTGACAAGGAGAGCGAGGAGCTCTACTACAAGGAACGAAAAGTGAGTACAAATAATACCAACACATACGACACATTGATATAGTCGACACTATATTATTGACCCGTTTTCAATTATAGTCCTACAAAGTTATCTGACCCGGTTAGTAATTCAAATCGCGAATTATTCTGTTTGAAATATTAAAGACTTGAAAATAATGTACCGGGTGAGATAAGTTAGTAGCACTATAATATGATTTGTTTTTTACTGTAACTAGTTTTAAAGATAAATAATAATTTTGTAAGATTGGCATGAATACAATTTTCGTGTGAATTGTGTTTTTTTATTAATTTGATGTTAAATGTATGTAGTTTTGAAGTATTGAATTTTATTATGTGGGGTGATTGGCACCATTTTTTTATTTGCAACAATTTTGTTATTTGTTTGAACATATGTGAGAAGCATTTTGTGTCTGTTGCTATCCATGCAATACCATACTTTGTTTATTTTTTTAATGGCATAAGATATTTTTTTCTTTTGTTTGTCTTAACTTTTCGAAAAAGTATGCTTTAATGCTATGCTTTAATGTATATGTCTGCTTGCTTTGTATACGTTTGTGTTGTTAGATCATATTTGCTTTTAAACTCACAATAATTATAAAATGGGATAGTTTATATTGAATTGAAACTTGAAATGAAACTTTCTGAGCATATACTTTATTTTACAGCATCTAACTTCATTTAAATCGTTTGATTATTTTTAGTCTCCCGATTTGAATATAATTTAGCACTAATATCATCCATAGCATGAAGTGACTAACCTAAGCATATATGCATATAGATTTTTAATAGCATGAATATTGGTTTTTAGTGTACAATTTTTTTTTATATTTATACGAATGACTTATGACCCTTATTTATAAATGTCATACAAATTGAATGACGCGGCAACTAATTTGTATGTTATGTACAGTTGCATAACATGTGTGAGAGACAGTCGTTGTGTGTGTGGGTGGTTAGTGTTGGGCTAAGGCGCGCGTTGTTCGCAGGTGGTGAGCGCGGAGGGCGGGGCGCGCCCCTAGGGCCGCGGGCGCCTGCCCGACCTGGTGCCGTGAGCGCGCTAGCGGCCCTCCGCGCGCCGCGCACGCCCACGCCCACGCCCCTCCCCAACACACGCCCCCCCGCCCCATAGCGCGCTGGGTGTGACGCGACCACACCTACCCCACTAGCGCCGCGCCCCGCAGCGCACACACACACGACACGACACATTCACATTTGCAAATCGTGTTTTGTCTTCGGATTAAAAGTCAATTATCGTCAATTGTTATTGGATTCAAAAACTTGATACAAATTTTGAATAATTCGGTAAGATTTTTCGGATGAATTTTACAAAATGTTGCTGTTGACGTCTCGTTAGGAAAAATATCATTTTGAGGTTTAAATGATACTCTTGTGATGACTTTGAAATAGTATTAATATTTGCTATTGAATGTTGTCGGTGTTTGTGTGTGTGCGAAGGTGCGCGGTGTCGGGGCGCAGGCAGTTGGAGCTCTACAATTTTTCGTTGACGTTTTTATTAACGATTATTTAATAATTGCAGTATTTTATTTTCGTTCGCTCTCGAATCAAAATTAAAATCTTTTTTTACGCTCCAAAATTATAAAATCGCACTATAACGTTTTTATTAATGTAGTTAATTATTATTTGGATTTATAGGTTATTTGACTGATAAAATATAAAGTCTGATTTACTTTATGTATGTTAGGTAGCTAGTGGCGGATGACTCGCATCATTTTCAATGTACAAGAACTAAGAAAAGTTTATTAACTTGAAAAGAAAATCGATGATCAGAATCTCAATCATCTGCCAATAGTATTTGTTATAACATTTCGCTTTAGTTGTTAAGGTAATTTTAGAAGCGATTGAGTTAGTAAGTTTCGGCAGCTGGTCCCCCGCGCCCCGGCCGGCCCGCAGGCGGGCGTGAGGGCGGGGCGACGGCAGACACCTCGGACGCGATCCAAAGAGCGTTTTTATTATTTATTCGCTTTTAATTTATCTTATGTTACGTTAGTTAGTGTTAGTTAGAACGTAGAGGCTTGTGCGTGCTTGTGTGGGAGTGTGGGCGGGGCGTGTGGGCATGTGGGCGTGTGGGCGGCGGGCGGTGGGCGGCGCGACGCGGCTGCGGAGGCGGGCAGGCGACCTCTCGCTCTGCGATATATTCGCGTTTCGTTGTGAGTGGACCCTTGTGTCGCACAACTAGTACAGTGACGACGTGTGGCTATGACTTCTCACCTAGTACTAAGTGTAAAGTTACCTCTGATATGTCCCGCGGTACATCGCATACTGCGTGTATATATTTATATAATGTATTCCATTATGTCAATGTATGTATTCGTTGCTTGTGGTTTGTCCTATCCTTCAGACATGTTCTAGAATCTCATTCCATTATAATTGTTATGGTATTAAAAGCTTTTTTGGGGAATTGAAAATTGAATTGTTCGAAATGTAAACACGATATTTTCTTATTTATATTTTATGATATAGTGAAAATGAATAACAATATGAATGATATTTTGTAACATCTGCTAAATATTGCTGGGAGCTAAATATTTATACAAACAATTCAATGTTCTCGGTTGTATGTAAGTTGTATGTACTGGTTGTATGTGTATGGTGACTCACTACCGATGTCTTCTCATCACACGTTGGTTGCGGATTTAATTCCATACTTTATAAACTACATGTATTCTTATGTGATAATTATGTAGCTATTTGATGTATTATGTATATGTATAATGCTAAACTCCAATAATATAGGCCTCTACTTTATCTCAAAACGATACGCCTATTATTATAAAGTGATTCAGTAATTAGCGTAATGTAAAGTTTATTTTTGTAGTGACCTTATTTATTGATTACGAATATATTGAATAAGTTTTATGACAAAGATTTAAATACATAGTTAACTGGCAGAATATTATTTTATCTCGTGTTATGACACAAATTGAATCTCATAGAATTGATAGACATTGATTTTTATAAGAGCAAAAAACTCTTTTAGTCTAGGCCGAAATTTGGCTTAAAAGTCTTTATTTCGTAACATTATGTTATGAAATGCGTGTGCGCAAGACTCGAGTGAATCATTTTAAGACAAATCTTGAGAAAATTGTGTTGATTTGATACGAGTATCAATTATTAGTTGAACTGCGATGCAGTCAACTTAGTGTTTAGAACTTAATTTTTTTTTTGTAAATCTACATTAAATTGTCTTCACAAAACGTTTTCTTTTTTTTACAATCAATTGTTTAGAAATAATCATTAATTTTTATTTATTTAAATTGTTAGTGACATGTATTTAAATCTTTGATCAATGTGTAAGGTTTATTTGTAAATGCATGCAGAAGGTGAGCCCGGCCGCGGCGAGGCTCATGTAGACGACGCTTGCAGCCGCCGCCGCGCCAACCGTATACGGCCATTTAATACGACACTAGCCTACCGACAAACTTATTTATCCCACTGACCTCTATACATGGACAGGCAATAAACACTGCTATTTTGTGCCTATTTGGTTTACACCATTTGGCGCTGAAGGCAGCGATTGGTATTAGAGTTAACTGTCAGTAACTTCGACAGTCATGTTAAAGTTAGAACGAAGCAAAAGTTTTTCCAATTAGATAGAGATCAGTGTTTGATTCGGTGGGCATTAGTGATACTAAATTTCAATAGCTCACTAGTGCCCCACTGGCAATGATAAAAAGTGTCACAAGATCTTTGTCCGACTGTCTAGACCGACAAACTTATCTGACCCAATATATATAAGTGAAATTAAATTACAATAGCTTATTAGCCCTGTCAATGTCAAAAAATGTCAGAAGATACTTGTCAGACTGTAGTTGTCTTCTCTTGTGTGTCATGTCATGCCTAAGTAAGTTTTTAAATTTTTAGAACTAAACACGTCAAAGGCGTCGGATAAGTTTGTCTTACTAATTTCTATATAATTTATATAGGTTTTTGAATGTATTAAGAATAGAATTGAGATTTTGTGATTGCTGTGTAATTAGTTTATAAGGTTGGTATCTATGAAAATACTCGCACAGATGTTTCAAACTGTGACAAAACATGTATTTTTTTTAATCAAATGTATAAAGCAAGTTTAAGACACGTGTTATTTGTAATAGTAAATCACACTGCCATGTATTAAATAATCAAATTTTAATTGATTTAATCCGATTTTTAAATTATATTCTCGTTATAATAATAATTGTAAGTGTAAATTTTAAATAGCAATCACCCCCGTGTTACACTGAACAGTGTATTTATTAGCTAGTTACTTTCGTGCACTATACATTTGTAAATTCTTTGACAATTCTAATAGTTTAAATACACATTTGTATTTTTGAATCATGTCAATATTGCTTGTTTTTTGAAACTTATTTACTTATTACGGTTCAGAGAAGTATTGGCCAGTAAACCATTTTTTTTGTCAAATCATTTGACAATTTTGTCTATACGTCAAATGTTTAATCAAACAAATTTGACAAAAAGTTTGACCGTTTATAAGGTATTCAATATTCTTTATCGATCCGTTGACCGTACTCCATAGCTTCGTTACAATCTACTTGTACGTTAGTATTATTTTCTATAATCATGGATCATATTTAAAAATATTGAGGGTTTCAACTGGTTGAAATTTTTTATTTTTTTACTCTGACATTTTTGGTCATGTTTTTTTTATAGTCGAACCAGAATAAGACCAAGTGACCGCAAATTTACTCGCTTATAAACGTTTCATACCCGTTTCTCATTTGTAGGAATTCGGATAATGATTCTCGCTTATAAAGGTTTCTAGCCTATTCAGTCTTGTATGAAAACCCTATTGGAAGTTTTTTTTTTCCACTGGAACTTATGTAGTTTTTATTACGCAGTGTTATGTATGTTGATGTAACGAGGTTATGTTTCAATCTGCTATTGTCGCTGTTGTCATTTTCTATATTAAATTGTCCATTTCGTAGCCAAATTATGAGTCATATCAATGAGATTGAATTAAATAATTAGTAAGTAATTTGTTGTTTTATTTCCTGTACCTGATAAATTAGAATTTCATAATTTCAGTCGCATCTTACTTTATAGGATTTACAAACATTAAAATGAAACAATAACTTAGAAAAAACATATTTTTATCACAATAAATTTAGATCATAATCTGTGAATATTCATAATTTTTTTGGCTTATTTTAAAAAACAGTAATAATAAATGGAAATCGACAATAATAACATGAAATCTGTTTCACACTTCGACTCCGCTCAAAGCTTTGATACTTTTAACGAGTCGTGCGTTCGCGTCTTTGTAGTCTACTGGCGTCGCGCTCATTACTGTGGTTTTTAATCGAGCTTCATCCTGAAATGTAATAAAAAAAGCATTTAAAAAACTTTTTAGACTTATCATGGCATAAAAACTCCATCATCTATCCTAGTTACCGTGGGTTTCCGAGACCTAAATCCCTGTATAGAACATATCGTCATCTCTGTAACGAAACAGAGACAATATTATGTTTTAAAGTAAGTATTCCCAAGTAAAAGAAAATCTAATGAACATGTCTATTAATTATACGTGGGTTATTGGAACCAAAATCTTCGTTTTCAATATATTGTATCTCTGTTTCATCAATGATAATAACAGGGATGACGATGCTTTGTTTTTTTTTCTCGTGAGACTATATTTTATGTATTCAGACAAAGTCTGGTAGATATATGGAAGAGTAGTATATTTTATTTTGCCCCAAACCGTAAGGAAAAGGTAAGCTGACGATAAGACTTTAGTCGATCGGTTTAACTTACACTGTAGGTCTCCATCTTGGTGCGGAACTTGAATACGAAAGTTTTAAACTTGACTTCCTCGAAGAGCTGGCTGTATGCGGCCTTGTCGTACTCGAACATCTGTCCGATCTCAGCTGCCGTCTTGCCGAGCATGCTCTCTGCTGCCTCGTTGAACGCAGTCACGCGCTGGTCGCCCGTCGGGTCAGACACGTTCGCCTGAGTACATTAATTAGCTTAAAATACATATCCGTACTAAAAAAATCTCTAAAATCAAAGGGGAAGAACCAACAGGTTTACTTAATTATTTATCTACTTCAATCTTTCTGTAAATATTACAAAGTAAATTAATATTATAAACCTGGTTTACATTATGCCAGTACACAGTATCACAGTAGCGTTGGGTTAGCATGGTGTATATGAGGTCAATCAGCTAGTACCCAATAATAATCGGCCCAATAATACTCACGCCTAGCAGAAGCCGGTATTTATAATTAGGGTACTCTCGATTGCACTTCTCGCAGCGGTACAAGCCGTTCTCTTGATCCAGCAGTTTCTTGTTGCATTGCTCCTGTGGACAGGCTTTGTACACCGCGTTGTCAGAGAAGGTGAACGTGAGCGCTCCGAGCAGGCTGTAGTAGTCCCCGCGCTCGCCGGCGCCCAGCTGCCGCGCCTCCGCCTCCGCGAACGTCACCCATTCCCCGCTGCCGCCACCGTATGCTCCGCTCCTGAATATAAACTAGCTGATATGACTTCGTAGGCTATAGACCTAGCATGAATATTTGCGACAATCTCTTATCGTCAACGTCAGTTTTGACAGTATGAGATTTTTAGTCTATGCCTGTTAGGGGCGTTGCGATACGAATTTTGTCGATGATACGATTGCGATTTTCATAAATATTCGTGCTATGTCCACATCACTTACTTTGGTAGTTATGGGCTAGTTATTATAAACAACTAGAAATAAATATAATTCTAAAATTCATTCAAGATTTGTTTAATTATTTATCCATGAGAATTACGCATAAATAATGGCCTTGTGGTAAATAGCAACCTAGTAAATCACATTACTTTCTATTTCGTATCGTCATACTTTTATAGCATCACAAATTGTTTTGTACCAGTACCAATAATTGTGATAGTGTTCTAATTGTACCGACCTGGCGGAGATATTGACTATGTCGCAGTCAGCACCGCCGTTGTCGTACCAGCCGCGCAGTCTGTGCGTCTCCGGCAAGTCAGGGTTGAGGCGTACCATAGTACTGGAGAGACAGGAGAGGGATTTGCTGCCGTTGAACTCTGTTAGACGAGCACCCTGGAATATATAAGAAAATAAATAAAAAAACAAAAAAATCAAACTGAAGAATATAAATTGAATATCATATAATGGTTTCTGAGACGAAAATCTCTGACTAAAACATAGATATCGGTGTTTTGTCAAATATTATGACGGATAAGGTGTTTTGTAGAGAGATTTTAGTTTCAGACATTATTGGTCGGTCGTTTAGGTTGACGCGCAGACGAAGACGTTTAAATAAAACTTACATACATACATTAAAACATTACATATAACCTAAATTCCTTCCCGAATCAGTCTGGTGTTTATAGACATTCTCGCAAGATTTCATTGCATTAAAACTTAATAATAAAATGTAGGTATTAATTTCGTGTTAATAATGGATTCGTCTTTTTTACCTTAGCAGCAATTACTGGATTTGTACTACCATCAAATTTCTCAGCTTCATTGCCCCACAATGTAAGAGTAATCTGGAAAATTAAAAAAATTATTGACTGTCACAGTAGTGTTACAAAATGATTACCGAGCGGAATTAAAAAAAACTTATATAAAAAAACCTATATGTTCTTCTAGACTGTTTTATATGTATGCCAGATTTTTTCAAGGTCTGTTTCTGGAGATATTTTCTAACATTCACCTATCCATCCATCCAAACATTGGCAATTATAGCATTAGTAAAATAGTATAGAATTTATTATAATTGTTCATTCACATATAATGATACAACATAATTGTTATCAGAACTTGCATATTCAATGATGAATCTTATATTAAATATACATAGCTCTGTAAAGAGATGTCAATTTATTTTTGAACACTTACCGCACCACCTGATGAGTCGACAAGCGTCACTTCGCGTTTCTTTAGCAACTTGCCTGTACTTTTAGCTGTTAATTCTTGCACATCAGCTGCACTCTTACATACTCCAATCATATCTAGAATCATAATGTGACCCTTAGTGAAGGTATTTCTAACTAAATATACATGAGACTAAGTAAAGACTTTGAGTGTGACATAAATACAAAGTAAATGAAAGCAGATCCATTAATATACGCTTAGTTAAATTTTAATCAAAACTAGGCTACATAAGCCGCCCGCTACTCCGTTTACGCGGAATTAAAAAAAAACTTAATATGTAGTCTACAGTTTCTTCCAGGCTATGTTCCACATCTATGCAAAATTTCAGCAAGATTCATTGAGGCTTGCTGTTAAACAATTATCCATCCATTTAAACATTTGCACTTATAACATTAGTAAGATTACATCACAATTCTTTGGTATAAATAAAAATAAAATTACCTAGCAATGAATCAGGACTCTTGTTGGCTATTTCACTGATCGGAACAAAATCAAACTTCACAGAGGGGACCGTTGATGCATCCTCCATACATTCAGAGACAACCGTATCCGCGGTGAATGTCATCTCATAATCATTCTTCAAACTGGTAAATTGTTTGTTTGCCGCCTTCAGAATACATCTGCTTATGTAGTATACTTTATCAACCTGAAATATACAGGTGTTAATTCACAATACTTTATCTATAAGTTTCCATGGTTGAAAAACTTGTACAAAAACATTTTTTTTATAACAGTACGGGGCAAACGAGCAGCGCGAACACCGAGGTGTTCAACGGCGCCCATCACATATCACTATTACATTCTCTTTGAAATGACAGACATGGCAAAGCATCTAGGAGATTGTCTTAAACTAGAAAAAAGTCCCATCAAAATCAGTCCAGCCCTTCCAGAGGTTACTCGGTACAAATGCTCTCTTGCAGACAGACATAAATTAGGAAAAATTGGTTTTTCAACAGATAAATTATATAAAAATACAGTTACCTCAATCATATCGTAAAATTTATCACATTCATTTTTGAATGCGGTAGCTCTAATTTCTCCACTGTCATCGCACAAGTCCATACTGAACAGTTTTCCTTCACCACGAGCATTGCTCCATGTGCGAATCCCTGACTTGTTCATCACACGAGCTTTTATAACCCATCTGGAACCAACATTTAAATTGTTGGCTGTGCTTACAATGAAATGCTTGAAATAATATACTGGTATATTGGTGCTCATTGTTCCTTGATTTAACCCCTTTTAAGTGTAAACATTAATTCCGAAGTTTTGATACTAATATGAAACCTTCATAACTTTAAAGAAAGAATAATTTCAGTACTTACAACTTTCTTGTTTATACAATTCTTTAATGTTATTTAAAGCTTACATATATTTTAACATTCACATCTTCATTAAGGTCTGCTTATGTACTTTATTAGAAGTTTATTCTTGTTTACTTACTTATTTTGGTATGGACTAAGACTTGCTATTGGATGTGTCATTTGTGATGATAGCATACTGGAGTCTAGCTGTGGGTTGAAAGTAGGTTTGACTGCGGGAGGTGGCCTTGGGTTTGCTTTAGGTGCTGGTGTCATTGTTGCTGGTACTGGCGCTTGTGCAGAGTCCTCTGACCATGTTTGAGGATTACCCAGCTTCTTACCAACTTCTGATCCAGGTGCTAAGATTGTGATTTCTAGCAATATCATAACCCTCCTAAAACAGTTAAATCATGCTGTTTATACATTCATATATTTATTCAAATAAGAAATCATATCTGAATGCTTACAAAAAATATAGAATTAGATGTTAAAAAAAAACAAAAATATTTATTTCGTTTTGTACTGTAACATTACTTATTAGTTTATTGTATCAATTTAAAAGTACCCACTACAATACAATATATATCTTATATGATATGAGTAAACTTATATTTTTGGCAAAGGGTAAATACAAGCTACTGCTTTATCTGTTTAATTACTACAATTCATTATCAACAGAAAGAATTGAGATGTGTCATATGTAAACTGGTTTAAACATGAAAAGCTCTGCATGACAATGTTTTCATGACGGTCATATTTTCTTATTTATGGGATTGCTTGCAACATGCAATGTTTAAACTTACTTTTCTGCATTAGGCTTTATTACTGAAGTGATAAAGCGGTCTACTTGAACAACTGAGTAGTCTGACAATTCTCCGGTTTTCAGTTTGTCGTTCAATTGTGTCGCGAGCATAGCGAAGCTCAAAGAATGTTTGCCATCCGATACTAGTAATCTGAATCTCTCGTTAGCGCCACTACCCTGAATCTTTTTATTGCCGAGTATCTGCATTACCGGTTTATCATAATGACCGCCATTCATTATGACCTGTAAATCGGAGCTTATTTATGATATCCATTTCAAAATACTCCTTTAAGAAATACTATAGCAGAAATAAGGAGGATCTTTCTAAAATCATACATTTCAAAAGAACAATAAACGGCATTGTATTTCTTTATGACAATAACATACCTCCAGGGCCCCTTCTGATAATTTGTAACTCATAATTTGCTTACGCTATTCACTACAATCATAAAAATAAAATAAAATGTTTATCCTGACTTTGTGTTGAAAAATGAGGGCTAATATGTTCACTTAAAATCAAAATCTTCAATTGTAAACTTATAAACACGGCAAACTTGGCGCGAATTGCGTTTTTAATTTGAGTGACTTTTGATTTCACAGATAACATATTTTCTTGGAATTGGCGTTGGTTGGAAATGTCATAGACTAAAATATCAAGTCTAAAAATTTTGAACACTTCGATGTCATTTCCTCAAAAATCTTGAAATAAGTCCCTAGGTGGCGCGTGGGGTAAATTGTCATTTGTTTTTTCAATTTATTTTGTAAAACTGGGTAAAAGAAGGGTCAAGATGTAGGCAGAACGTGAACGCCATCAACCGGTGGGCAAATTAGTAGAGCGGGCGTAGAGTACACCAAAAATCTGCTAACTTCCGCGATGATGTTGCGATGGCGATTGTCACAAATATTCGTTCTAGGCTCAGTGTATTCAAAATTCTAGTTGGTTATGTTTCAAGAGTTATGCTTTGTGCCAAGTTATTCGAGAAATATTTATTTAATAAAAATAAAATTTATGAAAAATAATAAACCATTAATTTATTTTTATTTATATTAAATAACATCGACATCACAATGACACAACTATTACAATCATAAAGAAAACAGTATTTACAATCAAAACCCATAATATATGTCAACAATTTATTTAATTACCAACAAATTTATATACTTACTATATCACACAACTTATTTTAACTACAATAAAAATTTAAGTAGGGATCCAGTATAAATACCCTGTTTTAAATTCGATGTTAAAAGTTGTATCAAATCAGTTTAGATTTTAATTAAAATTCCCTGTAAAACGTATTTCTCACAGAGATTTCTCCTTATTTAATCATCAATCATGGTCAAAACATAAAACAACCTAAAAGTAATGTTTACTTGATATTCTTAATCATAAAAAAAACTTATTAGTCATTTTTAAGTAAAAGTACATCTATTTTTAATGAGAAATGCAATCATTGACCGACACAAATATTAATATTTAAATTCATAATCTGAACAATTAATTTGATAAGTGTGGTCGCGAGAAGTTCTAAAATAAAAATATTTAAACATATTTAGAATCCATCGGTGCTGCCAATCCTTCGGCGATCGGTCTGTGGTACCAACTCGCCTTTGGTGTTCCGAGCCGCCGCTACCATAGCAGCGAAGCCGGCCGTCGGCCCCCTGGCCGTGGTCGCATGCCCTCTGGCCTGCAGTGATTCTATTATACTCTAAAACAATGTAAACACCAAGAATTTATAAAAACAAACCAAGAAGCCCAGCTGCCTGTACATTTATGGAAAAAATACTAATAAATACTAAGATTAGAGTCGTTTACGATGTACGGGAAATATTTTTCATCCTTTAATACTTGGCAGGACTATCCATATTGCTCTTCATACACCGCTCATGAATTAAATAAATAAGCAGTCTCTCTAGTTAGCAAGCAAGTATTGTCTTGCAATTCTTCTATTTTAATTAAATGGTTATTGACCAATTAATTTGCTTCCAAACTTCACGTCTACTAACAAAGTGTTATATAAACGTATTACCGCATCGAAGTCTGCTTCATACTCGATTTCCATCGGCACAAGTTGGTGATGAAGCCGCGGCCGCTGCATCACCACTGGCAGCTCCACGCCTTCTAGTATTGTGTGCATCACCGCCTAAAGGAAAAAATAGGATCAAATAGGCACAAAGCTCGGACAACAGATAGTGTTTTATAATCTGTATAAGTATAATTGGATTATAATGTTTTCAATAACACTAACAATAAATTTACAAACAACATTTTGATGAAAACACTTCAGTGAGGAGTGGTTGAAGTGTTCAACAAATTTGCTCCAAATCAATTTCAAATGTTTCTATTTGATTACAATTCTGATATTTTAAGTGTGTACTTGTAATTGCATTTTGTAAACTTCTTTTGTACAGTGTTTTAATATTATGTCATTAACAAATAGCATCAGGTTGTGACTCATCATAGTCCCGGCTGATCTTAAATTGATACTAATTTTAGGTTTCGTTCCATAAAATATCAACAGTCTTTACATTTAGTGTCGAAGGCTTAAACGATGTTCCAGTTATTTGGTTCAATCTGTACACGCTAGTTTATGATATAACGCTGTTCCTTACCAAGGCGACTTGTGTGGTAATCTTTGTGCCGCCGGCAGCGCCGAGAACGATACGCGCGACACCGTCGCGAGATACGACAATGCTAGGCACCATTGAGCTGAGCGGCTGTAGGCCTGGAGCCAGCATGTTGGCTGGCGATGGCGGCAAGCCGTACGCGGACTCCCGGTTAGGTATGGCGAAGTCGTCCATTTCGTTGTTTAACATTATACCGAGACTGCGCGATCGCCTTTGCGAGCCCCAACTGAAAAACATTATTTTTTTTTATTTAATATCATTAAGCTTACACCGAGCTAGAGCTCCATTGTATAAATTTTGATTCGATCGTAAGTGGGAAAGGAATTTGATCGTACATATAATTGATGGTGCTGGTTGCTGAGACAGCGCTGCCATCAGGCGCGATGACAACAACGTGCGCGGTGCCATGGTCGTCCGCGCCTTCAAACAGTGCGCCGTAGTGCTGCCACTCGGAAAACGTGCGCGTGTCGTCCACTAGCTCGCGGTGAGACTCCGCCCATTCGCGTGACGACAGGTTGCTTTCCAACTGTAAAATTTCAACAATGCATAGTCGAATTCAATGGGAAAGCGAATTTATATTTACACATTTCACTTGCTGACAATAAGTTTCCGAGTAAAGTTTTATAAAAGAAGATTGTTTTGATAGGTTTGTTGTAATTTCTAATTTCTAATGAATTTGACTACACAAACGAGAAAATTTATATGTTTGAATTAACGAGGTAATCTCATTAACTTCATATCGAATTGAAAACATCCTAGGCCCATGAAGTAAGTAAAAGTTATTTATACAAAAACTATAGATCTGTGTAAAAGAAGTAATAGAGGCCTATGAAATCATTTTCCATTTATTTGCTCTCTAAACTAGACAAGCTTAGAAAGATTACCAAATAAGGCTTACTCTCTCCGACTATCTTATAATCACGATTTGTCATTAACATGCTATTAAACAGTATTTAGTTAACAATTGAGGTTAGTAACATGAAACGGAAACAGTTGCAAGTATGTAATGAATGGATATGCCAGATAACAAACTGCAAACTATTATAGAGTAACTCACGTACAAGCCATCATAGGAAATAATATTTATATTGTATACGAACAAAACCGATTACTACGACAATTTATAAAGATGATTTATGATACCACGCATAAAATTTTATTTATTTCACAAGTGTAATCAACCACAAACCACAATTTTCTATTCCTTATGGAATTATGTGAGGTTTTCTTGCAATAAAATATTGGCACGTTTTCATTCATTGGTATTTATAATCGATTCCCTGGTGAATGCAATTATTGTGATAACGGCGGAATAAAATATGTACAAGTTACCTGAGAGATGGAATGAGGCATGTTAGAGCGCGAAGGGTCGCCGAGGCCTGTTCGCTTCGCGTAAGCGTACTTGAACGTCTCTACTATACGGTGCCAGTAGAGGTTGGACTCGACCGGGGCTTCCGTATCTGCGCCCACCCATCCTCTCAGCATGTTCAATATGAAGGCCAGCACCGAACCGGAACCCGGCAGTGGCGTCGTATATAGAGTGTAGTCGTCCGATATGGGCACTTCGATCGGTTCTTGCCATTCCGCCCTAAAGGTCAATTTTTTTTGTTTAAAATCGTTAACACAGTAGCGTAATAAGACAGACAATATAGTCAAATTGTGACCGTTGTCAAAATGTTAACGTAAATAATAATTTACACTATCTTTGATTATGTATCTTAACGCCTGTAATTATTCTATACGAGTTGTCGCCCGCGACTCCGTCCGTGAGGAATTAAAAAAAAAACATAATTAGTAGCCTAAGTGTTCTTCCAGACTATATTCTATATGCATGACAAATTTCAGTGTGATCCCACTAGCCGTTCTGGAGATACCTTCAGACAAACATCCATCCATCCATTCAAACATTCGCATTTATAATACTCGTAGAAGTAAGATTTTATTTTACGTATAATATAATTAATTCTATGATGTGGTTTTTTTATAGATTTGTTTACCTGTATTCGTACAAGTCTTCCGCGGTTACGATACCACCAAATCCTTGAATGTCTTCTACGAGCTGGGCCGTAAGGGAGCCGTTGTGTATCGCCTCCGGGCCCTCTTCCGCTATTATATCCAGCGTCTGCGCTAACGTCGGCTCTCGGATCATATCGCCCTCGTTCCAAACCTCCCCTGTCTCTGGGTTCACGTACAATTCCCTATAAGAGATAAATAGATTATTTACACTTATCACTTTCTTATTAACAGGTATTATAAATTAATGATTTCAATGCGATGCGATGTTGGAAAGGTAAAGCTGGTTCTCAGGTTGAGGAACGTTGAATACGAAATATAGCAACAGAGTCCACCGATGCAAATAGTCGGTTGAAAGGCGCTTAGGAAAAAAAGTTTGAGAATATCTGATTTAGGTGCTCCATTACTATTTTTGTCGTTGTCTGTATAGGAGGAGTAGTTAGTATTATAAAGAACGAATCTATTTCGACCGTAACCAAGGTTCATACCATAAAAAAGTGCGTGACAAAGTAATGAATGAAATTTTTGCCATTTCGTCACGCGTTAGCTGTTGTTATCAAACTTGTCATTAGTTTAGAGATAAAGTGTTCTATTTCTACATACTTACATAAATGTCCGTTTCTCATATAAAATACTTACAAGTTTTAGCAAAGTAGACAAGCTCAATAGTTATTTTTTAACATTTAAAAAGAATATGTTGAACGACAAGCAGCTGGAAATAATAAACTAGGTCCTGCCATGTTATAACAAAATGAATAGAAGTGTACCTCATGGACGGTTCGGCCTTGATCCTGTCGCTGTACGATTGCAGCACGCGGCCCATGTAGTTGTTGACGCGGTGGCCGGTCCGGCAGAGGTTCGCCGCGGGGCGCACCAGTTCGCGCCACGGCAGCCGCCCGTATTCGCGATATAGTTCGCCGTAGCCTCGCAGCTCGCCGGGCACGGCTATCGCCAGCCCACC